CATTTCTCCAGTGTGAGATAAAGATAAAGTCTATCTTATGTTACCTAATCTATAATGGTGGAGAAGACTTTCACTTTTCATGTCATGGATGGATAGATACTTTAATGATCCTCGTAGGAGAAATGCAGATGTCCAGCAGCAAAAACACATCCATTCATACAAACACAATTCAATACAATACAATAATATTAAAGTGCGACATCACATTTGGTCACAGCAGCAGAGGTAGTGCAGCCGCTGGTTGATGTTTGCAGAGTCTGCTTGGTTCGAACCATTTACTCTGCTCTGCTCCAGAAGGAAAGGGAGTTTGGGCACGTTATTCTGATAGCTGTCTATGTCCCTCCATCTGCAAAAGCAGACAGTGCGTGAGATGCCCTGCTCTCCACTGTCGGTGACCTGCAGACGTCGCACCCGCAGGCCTTGTTTATCATTACTGGGGACTTCAACCACGCGTCCCCGGCCTCAAAGTAAGTAAGTAAGTAAAGTTTATTTGTATAGCGCCGTTCACAGACCAGGATCACAAAGCGCTTCACACATTAAAACACATAAAATACACATACAAGTCAGATAAAAGCAGAACACAGAAAAACACAGTTTACATTCACAGAGGCCTATGAACAGTGAGGCGAGAAAGCGTGTCTAAACAAATATGTCTTTAGTTGGGACTTAAAATCATCAACAGTCTCTAAGATACGATCATAATATTCCGTACCTCCGGCCTGTGTGCAAACCTTTGGTGCACAGGCAGCCCGTGGTGAGGCGCTTGATACGTACATGGAATACAGAGGCCCTCCAAGATTGTTTTGAAAGGACCCTCTGGGACGAGCTCTGCGACCCCCATGGGCAGGACATTAATGGCATGACGGAGTGCATCACAGGATATATAAACTTCTGCTTTACACTTCGGTGACCAGGAAAATGCAGTGTTTTGCCAACAACAAGTCGTGGATTAATTCCGACAAAACAGGCTCTGTTGAAGGCAAAGAAGAGCGCTTTTCGCGTTGTTAGTATTAGATAGCAATATGGCCTACGTGCAGGACTGTACAAGGACTCCATGTTATGACTATGATTTGACTGTCTTTGTGACACGTATGTCTTTCGATGTGTGACGTGACAATGACTATATAAACTGTGTACTGCCTTTATTCTGTCTGAGAGAAAGAAACAAAGTAAACCAGTGGAACTTGAGAGAAACTTAAATAAACTTCCAGAGTTTGGCGCACCACGATCCGTCTCTGTCTGCTTTATCCTGACAGATTTGGTGGAGAATGCGCGGCTCAGTGTGTGCCATTCTCTGGATTGTTTTGAGGGAGTTTTCTTTGTTTCTTTTTCTCGGCGTGGGAGAGCTGAGAGTGTCTGGGGCCTGGGAGCGGTCCAGCAGGCTGGAGAGGCGACCGGCTCCGGGACTCTTTTTCGCTCTCTCACTATATTTTTTTTGTGTCCTGTTTTTTGGACTGAGCGTTTAAAATTGTTTTCCCATGTCCACATTCCGGGGATTTTTGACGTGCGATTGGTTTCTGCCGATGGAAACTAGTTCCCGGTACTAGTGAGCGCTGGTTCATGATCTGGAGACCTGGTTGGACGTGGAAAAGCTGATATTTGGTGGACTTCTGACGGTGCCCGGCGCCCTGTTCAACAAAAGGTAAGAGCGGACACCTGTTTATTCAAAGTCTGCTAATTGAGTGAACTAAATTATGGTCTGTTTTGAGGTCTGCCAAATGTCATGTATCTATAGATCAGATTAGATTAAAAACAGGTTCGCTACCTGACGGGGTTAGAGTCCCTTTGAGAAGAAGTCTTGGGGTTAGAGTCCCTTTGAGAAGAAGTCTCGGGGTTAGAGTCCCTTTGAGAAGAAGTCTCGGGGTTAGAGTCCCTTTGAGAAGAAGTCTCGGGGTTAGAGTCCCTTTGAGAAGAAGTCTCGGGGTTAGAGTCCCTTTGAGAAGAAGTCTCGGGGTTAGAGTCCCTTTGAGAAGAAGTCTCGGGGTTAGAGTCCCTTTGAGAAGAAGTCTCGGGGTTAGAGTCCCTTTGAGAAGAAGTCTCGGGGTTAGAGTCCCTTTGAGAAAACGTTTTCGGGGTTAGAGTCCCTTTGAGAAAAGATAGAGAAGGATCCTAAGTGAAACCATGGTGTAAAATTAAAAGCAATTTTTAAAAAGGGAAACGTGTTAAGGAGGCCTTTTGTCACAAAAAGTTTTGTAATTAACCAATTCCAAGCTTGATAAATGACAAAAGTAAAGAAGCAACAATATTTCAGTGATCACGGTTTAAATTACATAGAGAAAAAGGGAGTTTTTGTTTTTCGGCGTGAACAGAGTTCACCGGAGAATGCAGAATTTTATCTAAAGTTGAGCTATGAGAGCTTTCGTGAGTTATTTACATTTTTTGCCGAGTTTTATCTACAGTTAAGCTATGAGAGGGTTGTATCCAACAGTTGTTTTTGTGTTTTTTTTTAGAAAGAGATTTTGAGTTTAAACTAGTTTGCTACCTCGATAAAATAGAAGCGTAAACGTTAAAGACAAGAGTGCCTTTTGTTACAAGTGTGGAAAGTGATCATTTCTAGACTTGGATGACAAAAGTATAAACTACAAGTTATATTTGCTTAAAAAAGTAATCTTGAAAGTTCTTCTTCTGGGCGGCACGGTGGCTGAGTGGATAGCACTCTCGCCTCTCAGCAAGAAGGTCCTGGGTTCGAATCCCGGTCGGACCAGGGCCTTTCTGAGTGGAGTTTGCATGTTCTCCCCGTGTCTGCGTAGGTTTCCTCCGGGTACTCCGGTTTCCCCTACCACTAAAAATATGTCCAATAGTTCTGGCATGCGCCTCCTGTACTGGCGACCCTGCTCCCATCTCTGTGTGGAGCGAGAGGACAAATGCCCAAAAAAATTAACAATTGTAAACCGCTTTGAGACTCGGATCTGCAGTGAAAAGGCGGTATATAAATAAAAAACGTACTTACTTACTTCTTTCTGTTTTTGCATTTTTGCTAAAACACTACTTTCTGCCTGTGTGTGCCGCACTATCTTGCTGCCGTTGTCAGGGAAACGGCCCCCTCCTTCGCTGCTCTGGCTCTGAATCAGAGCAAAGCTACTGCTTTAGGATTTTGGCTTCTCATAGTTGTTATTCCGTTAAATTTGCTAAATTTGCCATTGAACATTGTGTTATGACACAGTTAAACGTTTTTGAACACCATTAGTGAATAAGTTTTGAATATTATATGTTTTTGAAACCCAAAGATTTGTACTTTGTCTGTGCAATTCTTTTTAGACCTAACATATTTCTAGATTCCATTCTTTTAAATCTGCTGCTTATTTCTTAACTTTTTGTGAGTTGTGTTTGTTTTTATGTTTTTATTTTAGTTACAAAAGCCGTTTTTCAAACATTTAAATTAGAATCTGTGTTAAAAGTGATTATTGATTATAGACTTCGTCTAAAAAAGAAAGAGGGAATTAGGAATTAGCTGTAAAAGTATTATATTATTAAGTTAAACTACCCAATTCACATTCAAGTGGTGACTTTTGTTTTTGTTTTGACTACACGCCTGACCTTCCTCCTGCAGCTGATGCACACAGCAGAGGAGACTGGCTCTAAAATGTGCTCCAATTCATCCATCCATCCATCCATTTTCTACCCTTTAATCCATTTCTGGGTCCAATTCATATTGACTTAATTTGAAAATTCTGCAATTATTTTAAATTAGTAGAATATATGCTGAGATAAATGTTCAAGATAATTAAACACACAGTACAAAAGTACACATATTTTAAAGTTTAAAGGTTTTTTGAGATTTGAGTCTTGTTTTTTATTAAGAGAGTTTCTGGTCTTAAAAGTGTCATCATTAGTAAGATAATAAGTAATCTTTATTTACATAGCGCATGTTGAAAAACCAAGAGCGCTCCAAAATTGTTTAGACTTCATTCACATACTATTATCTGTTGTTTTTAATTTGACTATAAGGTTGTGTTCCAGGACCAAGGGCACACACTGTACAGGGCCACTGGACTGCTGGAGTGGACACTGGACACCAAAGCCCACCCAGCCACAGGTCACAGATCAAAGAGCAAAGGGAAATGCCACCTCCTTGCCCCTCCCCACGCCACTCCAGAGCTGAGTGGGTGTGAGAGAGACCAGGGCCATGAAAGTGGAGGTTTCTGGAGACGTGATGGGTGGAGGCCTCAGGTAGAGACCTAGAGGCAGTTGAAAGTGTGTCCACGTGGTTACATCGACACAGTGTGACCTTTGACACCTACAGGTGGTTCAAGGAGTCTGGAGACACAACCCCAAAATTCACACCCTACATACACACACACACACACACACACACACACACACACACACACACACACACATACACACACACATACACTCACACATTCACATTTACCTATAGATACATGAGAAAAAAGCATTTTAAAAGTTTACTCCAATGTAAACACATATTTTTAATTGTCTATCACTTGAGTCTTTATTTGAATCTGTATTTTTTGAGACCAGAAATGTTCATTTGAATTCTATATTGTCATGGACTTAATTGACGTCTGTCCTGACACTTTTTATGTTTTGATTTTGTACTGTGTGAAGTAATTACATTGATTAGAATTAGATCTGATAAAAACACAAATTAGAGAAGTAAACTGAATCACTGCGCTTGCTTTTGTCTGAGAGACATTAGCAACAGCATGAATAGAAATTGTCTTTACAGTAGAATCAAAGTGACTTAACCATAGAGAGTAACTATTGCATAACAAGCTGTGTACAGGAACTGTGACACTGCACCATTGACCAGAAGTGCATCGCAAATGACCTGATGTGCTTCAAGTGAAAAAACTGTATCTGGGGGGGGTCACGTGATGCAGCGATAGCAGCCAGACGCTAGTTTGGAGGCTCTCCGATAATTTATCCATATCAACCATCAAAAACATTCGGATCAACTTCGTTTCCCTATAACTTGCTTCCTTAACGGGAGGATGGATCTGAGATCTAAAAATAAGCCAACTTGCTCAGCAGTTATGAATGTTTTACCGAGTTACGACGAAGATTTGCATCAAGAAGCTAGCAACATGGCGCACGAGCACACCGCGCCACCTATGGACATTGCGCTCTTGCTTCAGGAAATTCGGTCCGGGAATCAAGCCCTGAGTGACAAACTGGACAAACACACGACAGAGATCAACCAGTCTATCTCGGGGCTAAAGACAGCACTCGATGGTTTAAAGTCCCGTGTTAATGAAACGGAGGACCGCATAGGAGCAGTGGAGGATGAGCTGAGTGACGTGAGCGCCCAGGTGGCCAAACTTATAAAAGACAAGACATTCTTAATGGATAAAGTTGACTCACTCGAGAACTACAGCAGGCGCAACAACATTCGTTTAATAAACCTGCGGGAAGGTTGTGAAGGTAATGACCCAGTGGCTTTTTTTACCAACTGGCTCCCAATCATACTCGGACGTGAGGAGTTCGCGGGACCGCTCATGATAGAGCGAGCGCACCGAACACTCGGTCCGAAACCATCCGCAAGCGAGAGACCCAGACCTGTGCTGATCCGGCTGCTGAACTACCAAGATCGGGAGAAAATACTACGCACTGCTGCAAAGCGATACAAGGAAAACAAGAGTCCTATAACGTACGAGGACAGACCTCTTATGTTTTTCCCTGATTTAAGCCCGAACCTGGTGAAGCGGCGTAAGGAGTTCGACCATGTGAAGGGAGAGCTGCGCTCCAGGAATATACAGTACTCACTATTACATCCTGCAACCCTGAGGATAACGCTCGCCGATGGGAAACGGAAAATCTTCCAAACACCGGGAGAAGCAGCAGCTTTTCTAAAGGAATAGTTGGGCTGCCCGCTATTGCACCATGCCACTGTGTTACCATATGTCCACGGTTATGTTCTTCATACTGGACTTGAAGGTACTGTATTTCTATTATTATCTTGTATCCGCATATATTCATACTCAGTTTAAGAATGTTTGAGACAATATATCATGTCGGAGAGCCCCCAGAGAGTAGAGAACGTTGTTCACGACGAGAAGACCGTTTAGAAGGAAGGGAACTGTGCCACATGTTCCAGGAGCGGCACTGAGGGGAATTATGCTCACTTTTATTTTTGTTCTGGGTTTTGTTTGTTTGTTAGTTTTCAGATGCTCACACACGTGCCTATATATAATGTTTTACAAACACTTTCCTCATTGTCACAGTTTTAAAAGGTCAGGTAATTTTATATGTAACAGAATTGTATGGATAGGGTCCTGAAGTTTGTCAGTTTTAATGTAAACGGATTGAATGGGCCTGTCAAAAGGAAAAGAGTCCTGACTTATTTGAAAAAGTTAAAGGTAGATATTGCTTTTATCCAAGAGACTCACCTTACTTCTGAAGAACATAATAAATTAAAGCGTGAATGGGTGGGGCAGGTTATATCCTCCTCATTCAACTCAAAAGCCAGGGGAGTGGCGTTACTGCTCAGGAAGAATAGTCCTTTGGAAGTGATCGATACTATCGTTGATCCTTCTGGACGATATGTCTTAGTAAACTGTAGGATATTTTCTGAGCAGTGGTCGCTCCTCAATATCTACGCTCCCAACTACGATGATGACTCATTTATGCAAGACGTATTTCTCAAACTTTCTGGAGGGCATGGCAATTTACTAATTGGGGGGGACTTTAACTTTTGTTTGGATCCAGCCTTAGACAAATCGTCTATGGTAATATCGAAGTCTAAAGCTGCTAACATTACTCACTCTTTTATGAAGGACTTAAATCTAATGGACGTTTGGCGGCATATGCACCCTCAAACTCGGGACTATTCCTTTTACTCATGCCCCCACAATTCACACACCAGAATAGATCTATTCTTGTCCTCTTCCCATTTGTTCCATAGAGTGTTAGATACAGAATATTTACCTCGGTTACTGTCTGATCATTCACCACTGACTCTCTCAATCATATTTCCAGATATGCCTAGAAGACCATATCGATGGCGGCTTAACTCTACTCTTCTTCAGAGACCAGACTTCTGCTCATATGTTAGGGGTCATATACAGTTGTTTTGTGAAACAAATAGTCCTTCCTCTCCCAATAGCTTTATCTTTTGGGACACGTTAAAAGCCTACCTAAGAGAACAAATAATCTCTTATACAATCAATCAATCAATCAATCAACGTTTATTTATAGAGCGCCTTTCCTACACAAGGCAACGCAAAGCGCCTCACAACCCATATAACATCATGCATAAATCATCAAACATTAGAATTTAAGTAAACATAAAAAGACAGATTAAGAGCACAAGATATATAAAATCACACAAGTAGTTAAAAACCGTAAAACATTAAAATCACACAAGGGATTACAATCATAAATAATCATAAATAATCATAGCGCATTAAAGATTAAAGACAAATATAAAATCATTCACTTGTATGCACAGCTAAAAAGAACTGTTTTCAGTTCAGTTTTAAAAACTGCTAGAGTAGACGCCTGTCTCACACTCTCGGGAAGACGGTTCCAGACTCTAGCTGCATGAATCTGAAACGCAGCCTCCCCATGTCTAGTTCCGACTCTTGGCACTAACAGAAGTCCAGTCCCTGTGCTCCTCAGAGCCCGAGTTGGTTCATATGGCACCAACATGTCGCGGATGTACCCTGGTGCGAGGCCATGGAGAGACTTGTACACAAGTAAAGCTACTTTAAAATCTATTCTCTGAGCCACAGGAAGCCAGTGCAGAGACCTGAGGACCGGACTAATGTGGTCGTACTTCCTGGTTCTAGTCAGGACTCGAGCTGCAGCATTTTGGATGTACTGCAGCTGTTTTACCGCTTGTTTAGAGAGACCTGTGAACAAGCCATTGCAGTAGTCCAATCGACTGGAGACAAATGCGTGGATAAGAATCTCCAAGTCTGCTTTAGACACAATGTTCCTAATTTTAGCAATGTTTCTTAGGTGGAAGTAAGCTGATGATGTCACAGATGATATGTGGCTATTGAAATTTAAGTCTGAGTCCATTATTACTCCTAGATTTCTGACCTGAGTTGAGGGTTTTAGGGAGAGAGACTGGAGGTGGCAGATAACGCTCTCTCTTTGTTTTTGAGGTCCGAAAACAATAATTTCAGTTTTTTCTGTGTTTAGCTGGAGAAAGTTATTTTGCATCCAATCACTGATTTGTTGGATACAGTGAAGGAGCGAGTCCACTGGTCCATGTTCTCCTGCTGTCAGGGACACATAGACCTGAGTATCGTCAGCATAATTGTGATAGGACACGTTATTACTGTGTATTAACCTACCCAGAGGCAGCATGTAAATATTAAACAGGAGAGGCCCCAGGATTGATCCCTGTGGCACTCCGCAGGTTAGGGCCAGATGGTCTGAGATACAGTTTCCGATCTCCACAAAATACTTTCTGTCCTGTAGGTAGGATATAAACCAGCTTAGGGCTGTTCCAGAAACACCAACCCAGTCCTCAAGTCTCTGAATGAGGATACCATGATCGACAGTGTCGAAAGCAGCACTTAAATCTAACAGGATAAGAACTGAGACTTTTCCTGCGTCAGTGTTAAGTCTGATGTCATTTGTTACCTTCACTAGAGCGGTCTCTGTGCTGTGGTGGGGTCTAAAACCAGACTGGAACATATCAAAAGAGTGATTGATTATTAAAAATTCTGTAAGTTGTTGATAGACAACTTTTTCTAGAATTTTACCCATGAAAGGCAGATTTGAAATGGGCCGATAATTTTTAAGTGCCAAGGCATCCAGACTCCTCTTTTTTAGGAGGGGTCTGATGACTGCCGTTTTCAGGGCCATTGGGAATGTTCCAGATTCAAGAGACATATTTACTATATGCGTGAGTGAAGGTAAAAGACTGCTCAGAACAGATTTAAGAAATCTAGGAGGTAATACATCCAGGCTACATGTAGAAGAACTCAGACTTGTAATTATCATTTGGACAGTTTCATTTTGTACTGGTGTAAAGTGTGTCAAGCCCAAAAAGCTTCACTGGCTGTTGGATTGTAATTTCTACTGTGGAGGTGATGGCATTTTTGATGCCTTGGACTTTGTCATTAAAAAACTCTGCAAACTCATTACATTTGGTTTTGGAGGTAAGCTCTGATGGCATCTTAACAGGGGGATTTGTCAATTTATTTACTGTTGAGAACAGCTCTGGTCCCTCGCTGGTCTACTCTCTGGTCCCTCGCTCGGGTCTCTCTCTGGCCATCGCTTTAGTCTCTCTGATCACTCTCTGATCTGTCTTCTGGTCCTCCCTGGTCTCTTTATCTGGTCCCTCTCTGGTGGTTCCCAGTGGGCTTTGGATTGTGACATGTGGAGGTAATGACCGAGGACAGACTCCGTAATCCCGTGTAAGAAAACTCTGAGATTCTCGAGTAATCTGATCAAAAGAGGGAAAGACTCTAGCGGCCCTCCAGACTGTAGACCACGACATGTGAGTACTGCTTACTATTACTGATTCTCCTATTTGGCTACTGCAAGTATACTGAAGTACTTGTGGAGAATACTACTAACTTTACAAATTACATATGCTGGTTTTTTTTAACTACTTATTACAACTACTACCTAATATCTTTCTTTCTGTTGTGGGAAGTAACTCGTTCTGAACATTCTTTCTGTTCTAAACCCATCCGTTCCCAAAAGCCTCCGTAGGTCGGCAGCACTGAGACAGTGACGCGTTTCTTCAGATTAAATAGTTTCCACAAAGGTAAATTAAGCTTTTTATACCATTTTGTAATTGCGAAAATAATATCTAGGTTTCAAATCAATCTGTTTTTTTGTTGGTCTGATCACTCAAATCGAGAAAACCACCACAGCAACGGCTCTTAGTATCGAGAAAACATCAAGCAGCTCTTTGGGCTCGGGTGGCTGTCTACATTGGGGATCCCGTTGTCAGTGGATTAAATCTCCTCCATATGAACAGGCTTGTTTACATTTGTTTGTCTGTTTTTTGCGGGTGGAAGAGGAGAAGAGGAGGACCAGCGTTGAGGGAAGACGAGGAGGATGGACTTACACTGAACTCTGGTTCATCTTATTGTATTATGGAAACGTCAGTGGAAACACTACAGCGAGCAGCACCAGGTCTAACCATGGATCTCTTAACCCTAGACGCTTGCTTTTTTGGATCTTTTGGAATAGACAATTTTAGATTACTTGTTTACATGTTTCGGCTGCAGCGCTGCTGTGAGCTATCCTCAGGTAATACATCTAAAATTTGTCTTTCAAAGAACCAAAAAAGCATTTTACCTCAAGACAAAAAGGAATTATTACTAACTATTAGGACTTCTTATGTGTCAAACTCATAGATTGATCATTAAATGGAGAACATATATTTCATGAAAAAATATTTATATTTTACAAATGTTTGAATCTGAAAACAGACTTTTGATCTGTGGTTTAATTTTTTGATATTGTACCTTTTGTGGTAAAAGTGAAAAATAAGAGAAACTATGAACTGGTTAGTCGGGTCATGAGTTGTCTAGTCATACATGGACTCGGATTAAAACGAAAGTTTACGTGTGTTGGGTTGTACGGTTCTAGAATCTCGGATGACCGCAGAGGGCGGTGCCGGTGTTATCACTATCCTGCGTTCCTTGCAGCCCAAAACCCGCTCCATGCTGTCGGAGGTGCTTATGAAGCTCTGTCTGGCTAATATCTGTCGCAGCCTCTGAGCGCTCTTTCTCAGCCTTGCGCAGATTAAAGACCTGGCTACACCAGTGACGTGCGGTGGGGGATCAATCATTTGTTCATATGATTATACATCATATAAACCAACAGGACCTACAGGAACAGGAGCGGCTTATACACAATTTGTTTGGCTACAGCAGAATATGATTTA